GTTGCATTTGTAATTGCGATTGTTGTTGGGCGAGTTTCGCGCTCATAATTTCAATTTCCGATTCACTAAAACCCCCTTCTGGTTTAGGCCCCTTTTTATTCGCGTATCCATTTTAATAGACGTAGCAATTCACCAAAATTTTACCGTAGGGCGCGCGTGCCTATGCGACACCTTTTTAATTAATTATTCGAACAATCCCACCGCTGTCACCAAATTTAATGTCACGTCCCGGCGCGGTGGCGGTAACACGTAGTGTTCGCACCTTTACGCGAGACTCAATCGGTAAGATTCATGAACCAATGAAAAAGTAAAAGATCAGAAAAAGAACGTGAAACACAAATGTTGTGTTTAATATAAAAAATCGTAACCAAAATCCCTTTCTAATGGATAGCGAAATTAAATGAGAGATCGTAAGGGAAGCAGTATCGCATTGATATTTTGTTGCTCCTTACGCGAACAACGTGTATGACCAATAATTAGGACCGTATTCTAATGAATAATAAATTTAAATAATAAATCGTAAAGGAAACCAGTATCGCATCGATATTTTGTTGCGACTCTGCAAACAACGTGTATACCAATAATTACGACCGTATTCTAATGAATAATAAATTCAAATAATAAATCGTAAGGAAACCAGTATCGCATCGATATTTTGTTGCGACTCTGCAAAATAACGTGTATAGTAATAATTAGGACCGTATTTTAATGAATAGTTAATTTAAATAGAGGCGAATAATGAATCCGAGTAAGACCACAAGAAAATGAATATGATAATAATGCAGCAACGTAGTAAGAAATAGTAATTCAACCAATTGTGACTGACGTGTAATTATTTAAGTTTATTATCATGCATTTGAAATGAAAGAATCGCTTAATACCATTAGAATGCATCAAGTATATGTTGACCGAAAATTTAAGAGAGTAACATTGGGTTTCGCTGATCATAAAAACTTTCTCCGTTTTCAGCGAGATTTTGCATATAATTAAGGTACCTGTCTTCACATTCGTGACACTCGGAAATCGGTTGAATCAACGCGAGGTAGCGATGGCAAATAATGCAATGTAATCTTGGGCGGCGACGCCCGACGGATGCGTAATGCCTATCATTTAAAACTACGAATAAACTTTTATATTCAATCGGTTCGCTAGTGATGCATTCTTTGCAAAGACGCTCTTTTGCCGTAGGATTCACGAAGCTGGTTTCGCGAACGCAACTAGCTAAGGAGTACCTATAAAGATATTCCAATCGAGGCGACCGACAAGCGTAACGTTTCCCCACACACATATCAATTATTTAAAATTCGATTAATCAGACGGTTGATTTAATAAGCTGGTTATAACTAACGTACGTATTCCCGGGCCTCCGCCAAGTAGAACGCTGGTAGGATCGGGAAGATTAACAACACTTCGTCCTTCTCGAGTTAATTGATTTGTTAGCCTTATAAAATGATTGAGACACGCGAGACAGTGACGCACTGGAAAAGGTTGAGATACGTTCTGGCCACAAACACGACACTTTGCTAATGGAACTATAGAACCGATATTCAAATGATGTCCAAGGACGTGTTCGAAATCATTTCGCGTTGGTTCTGATAAATCGTGATAGCAATTGAGGCACAATATCGTGCCAGTATTTCTATTCAAGCACGCGTTATCCAAGATACAGTACACGAAACGACAATTACAATTTGAGTCTGGGCGCGAAGATGTTACTTCGGTATCTGGCATTTTCTCTTGCTCAGATTTTAACTTTAAACCTTCCCATGCAAATAAATTTGGAACGGACTCACCGGTGTCGACTTGTATGGTACCTGAAGCCAGTGATAACTCAATCTAATTGTAAGGCGCCCGATCGGTTCCAGGATCGATCTTCCAATAGCAGGCTGATAGTCGTATGGAGATGAATCTTCAGATGCGTCATTGTTGCTGGTTATCTTGCGGTCGAGGAATCACTGCACTAGAGTTATTTCGCGACACGTCTTTACCTTTTATTATTCGTTGGAATTTAAGGATCGCACGCTAAATTGGAATAATGTTTAAGGATTTGAAATTAAAGATAAAATTCTCAAAGCAACCAAATAAATGTAATTATAAATGAAAATAAGAGTACATTGGTTTATAAATGAAATTACACTCAAATGAACTTATAAGATAAGAATTCTTACAAACATATTAGCACTTATGTTCTAGAAATGGAACGCGCAGTTTGCGAATTAAGTAATTGAACATATAAAATTGATAAACCGAACTTAAATTAACCGTACCGAACTAGGACGAAACTAGTACTAGAATTAGAATTAGACCGAGACTGAGTCAGAATTGAAATTGCGAATGTGAAGACTAACGATTTGACCGAAACTGACTCTCTGACTGAGTATTGACGGCTTACTGAAAAATTGAATACTGACTCGGCGGCATCGCAGGGCCCGTATTTATACTCCTCTGGATCTTCAGAGACAAAGGTTTGTCCTATGCAATAGGACCGCACATGGATGTAATCTCGCTTTAGAATATCGAATGTTCGAGGCATGGTTTATATAAAACTGCAGGCGATACTCGAACCTAAGTTTTGAGAGTGGTATGGTTAACATAAAACCGTAGGTGATATCCGGACCTAAGTTTTGAGAGCGACGACAGATAATTTACAGTCGTACGCTTTGAAACGCAACAAGGGGTTTACGTTACGCGAAAGGTTTCGTGTTGCGCCTTTCTGGCGACATGTGTCGAGCGCTATTGATACAGCGAGCGATAATTCCAAGAGGCGATAAACTAGAAAGTTTAAAACAAAAATTTACGAGTGGAAATCTACTTGCTAAAATATGGGGACGTTACACTCGATAGAAATTATCGACATTATCGACATTCATAAATAAATGTTATCGACATTTTTAGTTCCATCTAGATGAGGGCGCAAACCCGTCGGAGTTCGATCTCCGCTTTAGGATCCCCTTAAGGACTTTAAGAAAAAGCCATAAAAAATGGAGCTTTCAGTGAAAAATGTTGCTTGATCTTTCATTATATGAATAACTTTATATTTAACTTTTTAGAAAAGATCTTTTTATAGATAATACAATTTTAAATGTATAGATACAACACTTTTATAAGTAATTTTGTTAAAAAAGAAAACATGTTGAAATCTATTTAAAATAATCAGCTTATATGTCTCAACTTTATTATACATAATTTGAGTTACAAATTTCATATTAGAAAACCTTACTATGCTGTGCATGATCTTACAGCTGATACAAAAATATTTAGAAAATTATATCATACAAAATGTTTTTTTATTCTTCTTTCTTGAAAACATTTCATAACGTTCTATAATATATTATTGGACTTTCCAAAAATTCTGTCTATGAATTATTATACATGTAATAGTGAGGTGTAGCAATTAATA